GAGATTCACCCTCCTCCTCGTACTATGCCTTCCACCCCCGTCCCCTCCCAAGTTTCTCCCTCTTCTGCCACCTCCCAGGTTTCTGCCTCTTCTGTCCCCCCCCACACTTCATCTCCAGTCCCTTACACTCTTCCCTCCCCCTCTACTTTGGTACAGTCCATTACTGTCCCAATCTTTATTCACCCTCCTCCTTCTATTTCCAATATGGTCTCCTATACATCTTTGAATTCAGAAACACTTGAAGCCATTTCAGAATATATTGCAGAGACTAAACCTTCAATGGATACTGATTCACTTCCTGTTCCTTCTCTTCCCTCTCCTCCATCTTCACAACCCCATTCTTCGCAACGCTCCATTTCTTCGCTGCTTGAACGTCTTCCAATGCCACCACACGTTGACTTTTCTAACCCCTCTAGTCCGTAGGTGCCTTTACCTACAGATTCCTGGTATTTTCTTCATTGCCAATCATGGCCTATTTACATTGGAATATCCGCGGCCTCAGGGGTAATCGGGGTGAGCTTCAGATGTTGCTTTCCAGGTTTTTCCCTGTTGGTGCTTGCTTACAAGAACCAAAATTACACTCGGCTGTTTTCCAACCTATCTCAGGCTATAATTTATTGTATTCTTCAAATCCTTTCTCAGATGGGACCTTTAATGAAAGTGCTCTTCTTCTATGCAATGATATTCCGTACTGTCAACTATTTGTCCATACCTCACTACATTACACTGCAGCCCGTATCCACTTGAATAAGTGGTTTACAATATGTTCTTTATATCTCTCTCCTTCTCGAGCATTTTCTATCCCCTTTCTTGTTTCATCCTTACCACCACCACTTCTGTTACTTGGTGATTTTAATGCCCACCATTTCCTGTGGGGGGTCTCATTGTGACTCACGTGGCATCCAGTTGGAGGCTTTTCTCGCCTCTCACCCCCTCCATGTTTTAAATACAGGTACTCCCACCCATTTTGATCCTCGTACTAATAATCTCTCTTGCATCGATCTATCAGTCTGCTCTTCCTCCACTGCACTAGACTTCACCTGGTCTGTTCTACCGGACTTACATGACGGCGATCATTTTCCGATCATTCTTACTTCTTCTTCCTATTCACCACCTTTCCGTAACCCTCGCTGGCAATTTGATCGGGCAAATTGGGATCTTTACTCACACCTCACTGCTTTTAGTGAGGTTCCTTCTTCCTCCATTGATGAGCTCCTACACATCTTCTCGACGTCAGCTTCTCATTCTATACCCCAAACCTCAGGCAGGCATTCTCAGAAGTGCGTGCCTTGGTGGTCTCCTGCTTGTGCTCATGCAGTACGTTTGAAACGTGCTGCTTGGGGCAGGTACCGGTACAATAGAACCGCTGAGAGACTTCTTGATTTTAAGCAGAAGCGTGTGATCGCTCGCCGTGTCATCCGTGAAGTTAAACGGACTTGTTGGCGAGACTATGTTTCCACCATCACCTCTGCTTCTTCTATGAGTGCAGTCTGGAAAAAAGTGAGGAAATTGAGTGGTAAATACTCTCCTGACCCGGCTCCTGTTCTACGGGTCGCTGGTGTTGATGTAGCAAACCCTCTCGATGTTGCCATTGAACTTGGCACACATCTGGTCCGTATTTCCCGAGGGCTCCATCTATGCCCCTCGTTTCTTTCCTCAAAGTCTGCCAGAGAGTTAGTACCCTTGGACTTTTCTTCTCTCAGAGAAGAACAGTATAATGTGCCTTTTACACTTCAAAAACTGGAGGCAACGCTCTCAGCTGCCGATCATCGGCAGCTGGGCCTGACGACATTCATATTCGTATGTTACAACATTTACATTGGTCAGTTCTTGTAGTCCTCTTACACCTCTTCAATCTTATTTGGGCACAAGGAGTTCTTCCCCAGCTGTGGAAATCTGCCATTGTTCTCCCTTTCCGCAAACCGGGTACTACAGGACATGATGCCTCCCACTATCGTCCCATCGCTCTTACTAGTGCAGTTTGCAAAGTGATGGAACGTCTCGTAAATCAACGTTTAATGTGGTATTTAGAGACACACAACAGTCTCTCCGCTAGTCAATATGGCTTTCGTAAGGGTCGTTCTGCCATAGACCCCTTACTACGCTTGGATACGTATGTTCGTAATGCCTTTGCGATTAATCACTCAGTTATTGCCATATTTTTTGACCTTGAGAAGGCATATGACACAACTTGGAGGTATAATATTTTGGCCCAGGCCCATTCCTTAGGCCTCCAAGGCAATCTACCATCCTTCCTTAAGAACTTTTTAACTGACAGACATTTCCGTGTTCGAGTCAATAATGTTCTTTCCCCGGACTTCGTCCAAGCTGAAGGTGTCCCTCAGGGATGTGTTCTAAGCACAACACTTTTTCTCCTTGCTATAAATGATTTGGCCTCTGTTCTTCCACCCAATATTTGGTCATCACTCTATGTTGATGACTTTGCTATTGCTTGTGCAGGCGCTGACTGTCATCTTATTGCAGTTTCTCTCCAGCATGCGATCGACCGTGTTTCCACTTGGGGCCCCCACGCATGGGTTTAAATTTTCAAGTACCAAAACTCGCCAAATTACTTTCACTAGACGCTCTGTTATCTCCGATCATCCTTTGTATCTCTATGGCTCCCGTATCCCCGAACGTGATACAGTCAGGTTTCTAGGCCTTCTCTTTGACCGTAGGTTATCCTGGAAACCTCACATTACCTCTCTGAAGGCAACTTGTCACAGCCGGCTAAACCTTCTTAAAACCCTTGCTCATCTTTCCTGGGGAGCTGATCGTCGAACTCTGCTTCGCCTACATTCAGCCCTCGTTTTATCGAAACTCGATTATGGTGACCAGATTTATTCCGCGGCCTCTCCTGCTACTCTCTCTAGCCTTAATTCTATCCATCACCAAAGATTACGTTTGTGCCTTGGTGCTTTTCGCTCTTCCCCTGTTGAGAGCCTCTATACAGAAGTGAATGTTCCATCCTTGTCTGATCGCCGTGATGCCCATTGCCTTCGCTACTATGTACACTCTCACGATCTACACAATCCTTCCATTTATAGAATGGTCACCGATATTAGTAGACATTCTTTATTCGTTCGCCGCCCCTGTTTGCTCCGTCCCTTTTCTCTTCGCCTACATTCACTCTTGTCTTCCCTTCAGTTACCACCTTTATATGTTCATGTAGCATCTCACTTTTCCCTACCCCCCTGGGAAGTTCCAGCTGTTCGGGTCTGTTCTTTCTCATTCCCTTGCTTGAAAGCTCAACTGCCTACAGTGGCTTCCCGCTCTCTTTTTCTTGATCACTTCCACTCCCATTCTCATGCCACCGCTGTGTACACAGATGGCTCTAAGTCTTCAGACGGCGTCGGATTCGCAGCAGTGTTTCCGGACAGCGTCGTGCGGGGGCATTTACTATCTTCAGCTAGCATTTTTACTGCTGAACTGTATGCCATTCTTGCAGCACTTATTCGTATCGCATCTATGCCTGTGTCATCATTTGTAGTAGTCTCAGACTCCCTTAGTGCTCTACAGGCTATACGAAAATTTGATACATCTCGTCCCCTAGTTCTCCGTATCCAACTTTGGCTACGCCGTATCTCTACCAAACATAAAGATATTGTTTTTTGTTGGGTCCCTGGTCATGTCGACGTACAGGGCAATGAACAGGCAGACATTGCTGCACGGTCAGCAGTACATGACCTACCAATTTCCTATAGAGGTGTTCCATTTCTAGACTATTTTGCTACAATAGCTGCCCACCTTCGTGCCCGTTGGCAACAACGTTGGTCAACTCTGCTTGGTAACAAACTTCATTCTATTAACCGAGCATAGGTTACTGGCCGTCTTCTTGTCATCAGTGCCGTGGTTGGGAGACCACTCTCTCCCGTCTTTGCATTGGTCACACTCGTCTTACTCACGGGTATCTCATGGAGAGGCACCCTGTACCTCTCTGTGAGCAGTGTCAAGTTCCCAGTATCGATTAGCCACATTCTGTTAGACTGCCCTCTCTATCAACGAGCACGCAGAATTTACCTCCAACGCCGTCTTCGTTCTACTACTCTCTCTTTACCTTCCCTTCTTGCTGATGGACCCTCTTTTAATCCTGAGTCTCTCATTGACTTCTTGACAACGACTGATTTACTCCACAAACTCTGATGATGATACCTTATGCACTCCCCTCAGCCCTTTCTAGCTCAGTCTCTTGCTGCCCTTTACCCTTTCACCATCCACTGCTCCGCTGTTATCCGTAACCTATTACTCATCCACCTCCCTTTTGCCACCTGATGCCCTCGCTTCCTTCCTGCCCTGCAGTGCTGTATAGCCCTTGTGGCTTAGCGCTTCTTTTTGATTATAATAATAATAATAATAATGTGAGAATGTATAGATATTCCATTCTGCAGCTGTAAGTTAGGCTCAAAAACCCATAACAAAGTATGGTAACATGAGCTTCATAGCTCCTATCTCTGTGCTCTTCTCTACTGTCTAAACTGGCATTTATTCTTTTCTGCTGTACAATGCTGCACATCTCCTAATTCATGTTTTGATGAAGTGGTACTTTTACTGAAGGGCAAATAGCTTCTATTAATTGCTTTTTTTTTTTTTTTTTTTTTTTTTTTGCTGTGTCTATGTCTGATTTTGCTCATGCCCTCAAAATTTAAAAGTAACCAGAATATTTTATTCACAACATGATAATTGGATTTCTCATGCACAAAATTTTTTTTACTGAAAATATTTTAGTATGAGTGTGACTGCTAAGCAGATGAGAACTATATTTTGAAAGATGGTCTTTGAAACCTGTCAAAAAATCATATTTGCATAATTTTAATATTGTGCCAATTCTAAATTCATGATACCTCTAGAAATATAACCTCAAATTTGGGGGCTTGTTTTATATACTGCAGTAAAATGTTTTATTTGATCTTTGTTTAAACATGAAATAAAAGTATGGTATATCAGTACAATTTCACTACTTGAGCAAGGTGCAAAAAATTTAAATGATCTTTAATTTTCAGAATTGTCCAAATACCACGTGCAATGCTGATGAATATTCGTGTGCAGGGGGGTTCCAGTGCATCCGCCGCGAGTGGTTGTGCGATGGTGACATGGACTGCCCTAAAGGAGATGACGAAAGTAAAGAGAACTGTGTACACAATTGCCAAGATGATTCATTCATGTGTGGTGATAAGTCGTGTATTGCTGGAAAGCTAAAATGTAATGGTTTCCCAGAATGCTCTGATGAATCTGATGAAGAGAACTGTGGTATGTTAATTTTGTCCTCTTGTTTGTTAATCTTTTCATAGGTTATACATAAAAATTGGAGGATTTTATTTGTTTCTATACAATACAGACTGTATAATATATATATCTACATTATTGTCTAGAAGATAATACAGTACAATATAGTATATCTTTCTTCTTGCAACAAACTGGCCATATCCCACTGAGGCAGGGTGACCTAAAGAAAAATGAAAGTTTCTCTTTAAATTTAGTAATGTATACAAGAGAAGGGGTTACTAGCCTCTTGCTTCTGGCATTTTAATTGCCTTTTATGACATAAATTATCTTACAGAGGAAGAATTCTGTTCCATTTTCCCATGAAAAATATAGTATATGTTGTGATTATTTGGCCATTCCAAAATTTACTAGTGTGATATCGCACTGCAGTAGTGTATATAGTATATCATTCCAAGGAAGTGTATATTGTGCAGTGGTGTTTATGGTATATCAATATTCCATTGGGAAACCCATTTTTGCTCTGAGGTTTCATTTGGAAAAACAGTACCAAAGTGTAGCAAACTGTATGAACAAGAAAGTGGTAAAATGAGCATAAAACAATGCAGTATGGAAGAACTTATGGATCTACAAGGGTTTGATTACAATTTTCTATTGGTATAATAAGGTACACAGTGCTTATTATATGAGCTTAATTTTCTTAAATCTGATGTTTTCAAAAATTTTAGCTTGGATAGGTACAAATACAGTAGGGTATGAATTTTTTAAAATATCCACTAAAACTAGTTATCCTGCCTACCCTTATATTGGCTAAAATTTGTTATATACTGTTGCTTAATGCCTAACTTGTCTAGGACTAGGCTAACTTTAATTAGCCTAATTTTTTAACTAGAGAGTAAACTAAAGTACTTGTGAGTACAGGCACTTTCTTGACTTGCAGTATACAGTATAGCCCCGCTTTCTGGCGTTTCGTTTTATAGCGTTCCACTAATACGGACATTTCAAATTATGACCAAAACTCTCTATACTGCTCCCCCCACCTGACTTTCTGATATGGTCACTGCGCCCCGTCCAGTTTGTTTACATTCTCCGTGAGCTCTGTAAGCACCACATCTCTCCGTTATGTCTGGAAACTCCAAAATTTCAAGTGTTTATAAAAGTTATTTCATATTTTATATATACTACTCTGATAATTATTATGTATACCCGTACCTAAATAAAATTACACACTGTCCTGGCGTGCAGGTACACATTAAAATCAGTGAGCGTGTCGTATGTCTCGAGACACCATATTCGTAATGATAATAATAATCACCGAGTCTCATTAAATGTCGTATATTATGTTAATATACACATTTTCATTAGTCCATCTATGATATTGTTTCAAAATTATATAATGAACACGATACGTAACATATAAAGAAGATAAATACATCCCACAGTAGAATAAATTAACATAAATATGAGATGTGGTACCCAGACGACTTGTACAAGTGATGACAAGAATAATGTTTTCTCTAGTCCAACATGAGAGAAAATGTGTTACTGGGGGGTAACTGTAGAAAATTATTCCTTTCATATGCCTTCACTCAGAGCGTCATTTCTTCTAAAAATGGTGTTACATGAGAATGGGAGTCTTCCTCATTATTTATTCTACCGTATCAAAGTAGAGACAACTTGTACACAATGTAGCTTGTACACAAACCAGACGTGTTCGCCTGGTTTGTTTACAAAACACGCGTACGCCTGGTTTGTTTACATAACTCCATGCCTGTCTACTCTCATGTACTCATTCTCTCTCTCTCTCTCTCTCTCTCTCTCTCTCTCTCTCTCTCTCTCTCTCTCCTCTCTCTCTCTCTCTCTCTCTCTTCTCTCTCTCTCTCTCTCCTCTTTCTCTCTTTCTCTTCTCTCTTTCTCTCTCTTTCTCTCTCTCTCTCTCTCTTCTCTTTCTCTTCTCTCTCTCTCTCTCTCTCTCTCTTTCTCTCTCTCTTTCTCCTCTCTCTCTTCTCTTTTCTCTCTCTCTCTCTCTCTCTCTCTCTCTCTCCTTCTCTCTTTCTCCTCCTTCTCTCTCTCTCTCTTTCTTCTCTTTCTCTTTTTACTCCTCTCTCTTCTTTTTGGTAATAATTGACTCTGCATCTTTTCATCGCTCTGGACACTCTATATTCATGATCTTATCTCGTCTGTTGCTGTGTACTCTCTCTCTCTCACACTTTTCTTTCTATATTACTGCTCTACCCTAATTAAGAATCAAAATTTTTAAGGTAAGTAATGAGTGACTTCATCATTTATCGTCTGAACCTAATGGTCTGCAATATTAATTGTTCTATTATGTATTACCTCTCTTCATAATTTACATTCTTATTTGCTGATAATACTACAGATCTACCCTAGATTAGACTAATAATATTTTAAGTAAGTAATGAGTTACTAGTGTACATATTTTTGATGCCCTATGGTTGCAATCTTAGATTGTCTAATATTAATTATGCTCTTTGCATGGTTTCTGCCGTTGCTGGTAATGAGCATCTCACGAGCTTCATTGATAGGGTTCCTACTTGAATTCAGTCTCTTAGATTTTGGTAGGTAGGAGTACGAAATATTTATTGCCAGTTAAGTCTTGATTGTCTACTATGTATTATGTTGTTGTTCAACCTGCCGAATCTGTTGCTAGACTAGTTCTCACGATATCACTGATAGTGTCCTCATCACCTGAAGTATTCAGTCTGGTCTAGACTCTCTGGTGGTTGACGTATCCCTGACAAGAGCCTAAATCTCCCTTATTGGCCCTTGTTGGAAGATCGTCTGTTGTCTCATTATTTTTGTTAGTTCTGGAGACTCTGCTCACAGAACATTGTATAGACTTAGTGATTTTCGACGTTGCACTGAGGTTGTGTGTCGCATAGACACTCTGAGCAACTCAGGTCCTGAGCTGTAGCTTCTGACCTAACTTGTACTGGTATCTGTGTACTATCACAGTCGGTGATTTTCTTATGCTGAACTTAGATTCAGTAGTATGGGAGTTTTGTGACTTTTGTGGAGGATCTGTAGATGGTCCCTACTTAGTGTCGTTATATTATCTCCTTGTTCCTGATTCTGTGTCGCAGTTGCTTGTTATATTGTTATTGGGCTTAGCATTCTTTTTATTGTTCAAGCAGACTGTTCTGATTGCCAGTTGGTCAAGAAGTTAGTTTATTGGAGGACTTTGTCAGTCACTTGTTTAAGTCTAGTCGAGTCGTGAGACATAGTGAACTACTTAGGGCACTTACACACATACACACGAACTTACTTGTACATATTTATAATATCTTATTAAATGTTAATGTACCAGACGGTACTTAAGACATAATATGTGATATGTGCTTTCAGCACAGTACTACTGTACACGAGAGAAGTGATTATTATTACTTTGATTATTATTGATTTAATTTACTTTGATAATATACCTCTAGACAATACTTAATAAATTTATTAAATTTTATTTTCTCTAGTTAGTAGCCTGCCAGTTGTAATTCTGAAGCACTATTGAATCACACTGAATTCTAATGGATAATTGGACAAGGATACCGACTAATTGTTACGAAAACCCAGTAACAGGCTGAATGCTAGAAGGGCAGTCCTTTCTAGTATTCACTGGAGATCTCTAAGCTTTTAGAATCGCATTTTTTGTAACAGTATGTATTTTACTTTTTTATTGTTTTTTAATGCCTAGTTCTATTCCTAACTTAATATATGTTAGTGTAAACTTATCTAGTATTTCTATGCATTTATAAGTGAAAAAGGGGTGTTTCACTTTACGGCGATTTCCGCTGTACGGCGATAGCCTGGAACCTAACCTGCCAAATAAGTGGGGTCCTACTGTACAATATTTAGTGATTCATTGAGGAAGGCTAGTTACTGTGAGATTTTTTTTAGCTTTAAGTAGTACTTCTTATTGCCTTTATCTCTTATTTTATTTTTTTGATGTGGTATTTTATAATTACAGTGCTACCTTGAGTTACGAACTTAATTCGTTCTAGAAGGCTGTTCAAGTGCCATTAATGAACAAATTTGTTCCCAAAAGGAATAATGTAAATTAGATTAGTCTGTTTCAGATCCCCAAAAATACACTTACAAAAGCACTTACAAAGTTACACTTACCTAATTGTTTGAGTTGGGAGCTGTTTGAAACTCAAGGTATCACTGTATTACCTTTGATTAATATACAATAGATCAATAAACTTTAATAAATCAATAAACTTTAATAAATCAATAAACTTGCTGAAATTGTAAGCGAGAAATCTACAGAGAATTTGAGAGGATGGGTTGCCAAGTCACCATTATGCACTGTGAAGTTTTGGAAAAGAGGAGGAGTGCTGTGGCAAGACTACTGTGGCATACCATACAGCAATGATAAAATGCTGTGACTGTTTGTGGTGCACTAACCATGAGGTGCTACTGTGACCATTGACATAAAAATCAGAGAGGACTGTGCACGTTTAAATGTTGTGAAGGAAGTACTGTACATAATGTTATTGTGATGCTACAGCAAGGACAGCGTTGTGACATGTACCATGACACTTGGAGGTGCAGCAGTGCTGGGTGGCTACCATAGTACTGACTAAAGTGTGATATTACATCATGAAATGTTCATGTACATAATGCTTCGGTGTTAGGATACCTGGTGGCATTTTTAAGGTCAGGGTAGTATTTCAGAAAGACATAAGACATATGCGAGTGTAAAACGGAAACCTGTAATTGTTTTACATGATGGTAGGATTGCTGGTGTCTTTTTTGTCTAATATATATGCAAGATTTCAGGTACATCTTGCTACTTCTACTTACACTTAGGTCACACTACACATACATGTACAAGCATATATATATGTATACCCCTCTGGGTTTTCTTCTATTTTCTTTCTAGTTCTTGTTCTTGTTTCTTTCCTCTTATCTCCATGGAGAAGTGAAATAGAATTCTAACTTCCGTAAGCCATACATGTTGCAAGAGGTGACTGAAATGCTGGGAGCATTGTTTTTCTTTTTGGGCCACCCTGCCTTAGTGGGATACGGCTGGTTTGTTGAAAAAAAAAAAAAAAGACATATGTTCTAGGATACACCTAACAAAATATTATTCTGATTGAAACAATGGTTCTGAAGTTTAGGATTTTCACACATTAATTTTTTAATTTTATTCAGGATTAAAAATCCCTCCATATTTGAGAGTAATTTGATAGCAAAATGAGGAGTACACTGGGTTAGTAATTTTTGTTCATGCTTTAATTTATTTTAAATGTTTAAGGGCATTGTGAAAGATATTAAAACTGTACCAAATAATTTTTTTTCTGAAGCAAAATTAATTTTACAGCACCAGCTTGCAATGAAGAATCTCAATTCAACTGTGGAGACCATTGCATTCCTATGGAGTTGGTATGCAATGGCAATGATGACTGTGGAAACTCAGCAGATGAACCTACAGATGGCACTTGTGGCAGGAATGAGTGCAATGATCGTAATGGTGGCTGTGCCCAAGTTTGTGTCGATACTGCTGCTGGTCACTACTGCAAGTGCAAAGCAGGTTTCATGCTTGTTAATGGAACACAGTGTGAAGGTGAGTTGTAATTCTCTTGTAAAATAATGTTTCCTAAGGGCCTTGTCAGCTTAAGCTGTATGATCCTGTAGCCAGCGATATGAAGCCATAATACCACATCTTACGTAAATCAATGACCATCTTTTGCCTGCAATATTTTGTAAGTACAAGGGGCCCAGTGTTGTCCTTATAATTATTTTTGGGGGTTTAACTTTTGAATGTTTAGAATCTAACTGTTTTTTCCAAATGCTATTAAATTTGTATAGGTAGTGCATGTTTACAGTTTATACCAATTTTCAGTAACATAACCCTTGCTTACTGTGAAGGGCTGTATGAGCCACAGTGCCTGTTATCTGCTCTTGTCATCTGTTCCTAACCAGGATGTTCTGAATGGAGTAGGAGGCCTGCTAAGTGAGGGATGCAGGTACGGTAATAGAAGGAGCACAAGTGCACAGGTGTTTGGAAGCGAGTAAACAGATGACTAGCTGGATAAAGAGTGATTTAATAGCCCATTACTTTTGTTATAGAAGTTATACCTGTGGGCTATTCTTTTGAGTGATTAATGGAACCCTTCACAGAAAATATTTTTTTCATACTGTATTTTCAATTGTATAATATAATCCATGTAATTATTTTTTACTTCAGATATTGATGAGTGTATGGAGCCTGGCATTTGCTCTCAGGTTTGTGTTAACCTCAAAGGTGCCTTCAAGTGCGAGTGTGTTGGGGGTTATGCTCGCGACCCTCATAACCATCGCCGATGTAAAGCAATGGAGGGACATGCATCACTCCTTTTCGCTCATTTCACTGATATACGGAAAATATCCCTCGATCACCAAGAGGTATGTGAATCAGTGGATGCTAGGCACAGTGTAAATTAAAGTTTTTTCAGGTAGCACTATTCTAGTACTCATTATCCTGCTTCCACTTTTGTGGAGTACAAAGGCATTCATCCATAAAATTTAATCTTTAATAGTGAAATAGGGTGTAATATGCATCTCTTCTTCACTTTTGCACAGTCAGAGAATTCACGATTTCACATCGGCATCTTTTTGGGTCAATATCAGTTTTGCTAAACAGTGTAGGCTTACTCCACCTTGTTTACAGAAAATGTGGGTAAAATAATAGATCACGTACTTGAGAAACCTTGAATATTTAGACAGTTCAGAATGAGGGAGAGTTGCATTAGAAACTCATGAAATAACTACTGGTAATACTGTATTTTCATGTGTTATTTTTTGTGTAATATTGCAAGGAAAAATATTGCTTATTTTTTTAATAATTGCCTTTAACCCTTTTGGGGTCAGTCCTGTAGTACTACAGCTTTGAAGCCAGGGTAAGTCCTGTAGTTCTACTCTGAGCTCAGCTTACTCAGATAAGTTGTTAGCAGTAAATTTGGTCTGGAATGAAGTGGGTTGTGTGATGTGAAGTATAAGAAAGTGTTTGCCGATATCCAGGTACACAAATGGTCACAACCAAAAAAGCTCAGGTAAAACACAATTATACATTTAGGAATGTTATTTTATTTAATTTTTTATTCATAAGTCAGATAACAGTTAATCGTAAGTAATAGTGTGAATTTAGATTGAATAAAAGCAAGCATAATATGAACTGGGACTAAAAGAACAGAGAAATGTGACATATTTGCCGATTTCGAGTCCTGAACTATTGTTAAATTGCAGTTTTAATTAGGTGAATGGCCAATTAATTCCTGACCTTTGTAGGAATAGAAATGGATGTTTTGTAGTACTCAGTATGAAGTACAGCAAAGAATTAGGAATCTATTATTTTGGTAAGATGAATCAAATGAAAGCTAGAAATATGGGCAAAAGGTAAATCTAACTTGTGAAAGCATAATGTGAAGAATGTTCTTGTTTATTTCGACCATTTTTAATTCATTTATTCAAATGAGTGAAATTCCGAAAATACAAATTTTATCTTTTGAGAGCTTAATAGGATCGATGATTACGTGTACTCAGTTGATAGAACAGAAGGAATACTAGCGAAATAGCTATGAGTTTGGTAGACTGGAACAATGGAATTGGCTGGAAATAGGGCTCAAAGTTAAATTCTAACTTTGTGAAAGCATAATTCTAAAAGTTTTTCTATTAAATTTCACACTTTTGGTTTCATTACCTTCAGAAAAAGATTATCATTTCGTAAGAAAAAACAAATTTTATTTTTAACCCTTTCAGGGTCCGTTCCATAGATCTACGGCTTTACGTTCAGGGTCCAAACCGTAGATCTACGCCATGAGCTCAGCTCACTCTGATAAACTGTGAGTGGTACATTTGGGCCTAGATATGAGAGAATACATCTATGTGGTATGTGTGCACCACATAAAACAGATCCTGCAGCACACTGTGTATAATGAGAGAAAAAACTGAAATAATGATTTTTCGATTAAAACAGCAACTTTGCAGTGTTTTTTCGTATGTTTTTTATAGTTGTATTTGCGATTTCTTGGTCTCATTTGATAGAATGGAAGACATATTACAGAAATAGAGATGATTTTGATTGGTTTTAGCACTGGAAATGGCTTGAAACTGAGCTCAAAGTAGCAGAAATGTTAAATTTTTGCGGATATTCAAGAGTAAACAAACGACCTCACACGTCTAATACACGTCAGCTGGTGGGTCTAATATGCATTCACAAATATGGTGATGATATTTATACAATTATTACAGTATTGCATATCAGTAAATCTTCTATTTTTTGGTGTGAATAAAAAATCAAAATGGAATTTATTTGTAAAGCCTCAAAATGTAACTAATGAACAGAGGAAATGTTAGTTTAGTTCCAGGAATACCTACATTGTTTATTCTGGACCCTATTTTGAAATTGGAATATTTTGAACTTTGTGTTAAATTGGTCAAATTAACAATTTCCGATCACTTTAATTTGTAGTTGAAACAGTTGACTTGGTGATTTCTTGTGCTCAATCGATAGAATAGAAGTAATACTAGTGAAATAGCTAAGAATTTGGTTGACTGGAATACTGTAATTGGCCTAAAATGGGAGTCAAGGTCGGCAAAATCGCCGATTCGTAAATATCGCTGACACATCAAAATTCGCGAGAGCATAATTTCATCAATTTTCCATCAAATTTCGTACTTTTGTTTTATTACCTTCACAAAAAGAATCTCTACCATTTCATAAGAAAAAATAAAAAAAATTTTTTTTTTTAAATTCTTGGACACTGGGGCACCACTTCAGATTTGGGCCTTGGACCCTGAAGGGGTTAAATTCTTCAACCCTGAGAGCATGTTTGAGATGAGGGGTCTTTACCCTGAAAGGGTTAATAAACATTTACCATAATTTTATTTGTAACAGCCTTGTAAAGTAATACATTTTTGTAAGCATGGGCAGAATAAGCTTTGAGAAAGCATAGAATAAAGAAGTTTTGGCTCAGTGCAGAATGTAGCAATATACTCCTATAATTTAAACTGCGAGAGATTACCTATTTGTAGGGCTAAGCTTGGGATATTCTGAACTTTTTTTTTCAAGTTTCCAGTTGTAACACTTAAAGAGTACTACGTATCTTCTGTTGTAAACAATTCCATTGTTTTATTTTTTGTGAAGAAAATAGTTTCTTATTTGGCCAAGCTTCTTCAGTTAATAATTATGATGTCATTGTTAATTTCTGAGGCTAAAAAAAAGAAAAGTGTTTGTTTTCATTTGATATATGAATTTACTGAAGACTCATAATGGAATTGAAAGTTTAGTAATTTATTAATGGAATAGTATACAAGAAAAGAAGAGAGGCGAGATTTAAAATTAAATTGATACTGCATTGGTAACTAATGAGGCTAATTCTTGCTTGATCTTCATTATTTCTATTTTTGGTGAAAGATGTATGGATAATAAACAGCATCGAGAAAAATAAATATTTTTTTTTTTTTTATCATCACACTGGCTGATTCCCACCAGGGCAGGGTGGCCCAAAAAAGGAAAACTTTCACCATCATTCACTCCATCACTGTCTTGCCAGAAGGGTGCTTTACACTACAGTTTTTAAACTGCAACATTAACACCCCTCCTTCAGAATGCAGGCACTGTACTTCCCATCTCCAGGGCTCAAGTCCGGCCTGCTGGTTTCCCTGAACCCCTTCATAAATGTTACTTTGCTCACACTCCAACAGCATGTCAAGTATTAAAAACCATTTGTCTCCATTCACTCCTATCAAACACGCTCACGCATGCCTGCTGGAAGTCCAAGCCCCTCGCACACAAAACCTCCTTTACCCCCTCCCTCCAACCTTTCCTAGGCTGACCCCTACCCCGCCTTCCTTCCACTACAGACTGATACACTCTTGAAGTCATTCTGTTTCGCTCCATTCTCTCTACATGTCCGAACCACCTCAACAACCCTTCCTCAGCCCTCTGGACAACAGTTTTGGTAATCCCGGACCTCCTCCTAACTTCCAAACTACGAATTCTTTGCATTATATTCACACCACACTTTGCCCTCAGACATGACAGCTCCACTGCCTCCAGCCTTCTCCTCACTGCAACATTCATCACCCATGCTTCACACCCATTTAAGAGCGTTGGTAAAACTATACTCTCATACATTCCCCTCTTTGCCTCCAAGGACAAAGTTCTTTGTCTCCACAGACTCCTAAGTGCACCACTCACCCTTTTCCCCTCATCAGTTCTATGATTCACCTCATCTTTCATAGACCCATCCGCTGACACGTCCACTCCCAAATATCTGAATACATTCACCTCCTCCATACTCTCTCCCTCCAATCTGATATCCAATCTTTCACCTAATCTTTTTGTTATCCTCATAACCTTACTCTTTCCTGTATTCACTTTTAATTTTCTTCTTTTGCATACCCTACCAAATTCATCCACCAATCTCTGCAACTTTTCTTCAGAATCTCCCAAGAGCACAGTGTCATCAGCAAAGAGCAACTGTGAGAACTCCCACTTTATGTGTGATTCTTTATCTTTTAACTCCACGCCTCTTGCCAAGACCCTCGCATTTACTTCTCTTACAACCCCATCTATAAATATATTAAACAACCACGGTGACATCACACATCTTTGTCTAAGGCCTACTTTTACTGGGAAATAATAAATAATATATACAATATTAGGGTGTAGGGGAGAGGTTCAGGTTTAAAAAATAATGAATTTAATACATCATGAGAGTAGTCATATTTGCTCCATGCCAATGACACTTTTGGGAGATTTGGAAGAGAAGTTGCAAAGGTTGGTGGATGAATTTGGGAGGATATATGTAAAAGAAATTAGAAAATGTGCCAAAGAGCAAGGCAGTAAGTAACAAAACGGTTAGACCATGAGCAATTCGATATATTGGAGGGAGGGAATATAGAGATGGACATGTCAGCAGATGAGTGAAAGACAATTGAAACCATAGAATGGACGTGGGTAATAAAAAAGTAGATCTTGTTGAGGTGTGTGGAGTATATTTGGAAAATTCTGTTTGTTGTAATGACACGGATTTATTATCAGATGTCTTCTAGAGTTACATGCAACATGTATGTGATAAGTATACATTATTTTATTGTCCTTATAGTTGAATAACTACAGTTTTTTATTCCTGACCAGATTACAGCAATTGTTAATGAGACACAAGGTGCTACAGCGTTAGATTTTGTTTTTAAAACTGGAATGATCTTCTGGACAGATATACGGGAAAAATGTATATACAAGTAAGTGTAGTTCTCATGAAATTATATATTATATATGTACTCTATTTCATAATAAATTCATGACTCAAACACAAGCAAGCAACAAATACTTGCACTTCAATGATAATTTTTTAGAAAAAATTTATATTGAATGATTAAAAAAAAATAGAATATTTTTACTCTGAATCTTGTATATGGAGAAGTTGCATCAAATGCCACTTAACAGACTTCAGACATTAGTAAAACAGTTTATATTACAACTGTTTGATTGAAAGATGGTGTGTTTTCCAGTCAAATGATATTTTACTTCATTGTCTTTTCACTGACAGTTTCCTTTTTTTTCCTCTTGTTTTCCTACTAATTGTATTGTGAAAATAGCAATACATATTTTATTAGAGATAATTAGCAATCTGTTTTATATTCAGAGCCCCCATAGATGAAGGCAGTAAAAAGGTGGTGGTGATTTCTGATGATGTGACTACAGTAGATGGTTTGGCTGTCGACTGGTTGTATAATCACATCTACTGGACTAACACGGACACAGATACAATAGAGGTATGTAATTCTCATTTCAGTACTGTGGTGAAGCTGTTATGTAATATGTATTATAAGAGTAAAGGGTACGTGGAGTACAAGAAGACTGGGAGCTCTGGGTAAGAGGATGTGAAAGTAAAAGCATTAAGGAAGATATTATTGGAACGATGTAAGCAACTGCAGGTGCGTCTTGACTTGGGATGGTTCGACTTGAGATATTTCGACTTTACAATGGTGCAAAAGGAATTACTTTGGTGATGAAACTTTAGATAATTTCCTATGATGAAGGCAGGGAAGTCCATGACTTGTATTCATTTATTTACTTTTCAGCATTTATTTACTTATTCATTGACATTAGTTATTTATTTACTTATTTATATAGCACGTCATATTTGACTTGGGGGTTCATCGGAATATAACCTCATTGTAAGTCAAGGAGCATCTGTATTGGGCAAAAGGTTGACTGGAGAAAGTGCAGGAAATGAGGTTGTGGTCAGGGAGGTACAGGATAAATTGAAGAATGCTCTGAAGTCCAGCAAAAGTTTGTGAGTACAGGAGTGTGGTTGCTAGTGGGAAGAGGGATGATTGGTGGATTGATGAGGTAAAGAGGGTTGTAAGGGAGAAAAAATTAGCATGCATGAAATGTTTGCAGTCTAAGAATAATACAGAAAGCAGAGTAGAGATAAAAAGGGAGGATAAAGAGTGGTGAAGGAGTACAAGAGAAGAGCCAATGTAAAAATGGGTTAGTCCCTATCAGCAAAGTTTGGGTCTCCTGCTTCAGTGAGGGATGGCCAGCATGTTAAAAAGAAAAAAGAAGCGACTCTTTCGGAGAGAGATCAATAAGGGATGGAAGCCTTATCCTTCAGTGTAATTTGGCAATATTGTGGTAGCAGTTTTGAGATGTTATTACTGTGCTGTATATTGTTTCATAGTATTGAAGAGTTTGTAGTTAGTTTGGGCATTCATTTGACCTATCAGCTAGTTTCCTTTTTCCTGTTGGTTATTTCCCTTAAATGCTGGATGACAAAAAAAAAAAAAAATCACTAGTGGTAATTCACTGAACCACATCATTCCAACTCCTCTCAAAATGTGGGCTCGGTATTTCCCAACCTCTGGTACTCAAGTTCAGTTATCAAGTTCCCCGAATCTCCTTACAGATGTTACCTCACACTCCAATACCTCATCAGATCTTGTTGACACCTCTCCTCCACTCATTACAATGTACCACATTAATGTATATTAGTTTGATATCCCAGCCTACGTCTCTTAATACCCTCACACACTCCTTCCTCAGGAAGTTTTCATGGTTCATTCTTTCTGCATGATCAAACATGATGTAAGATTGCAGGTTATAAGGTTATTGGAATTGTGATATCTGCACACTCCTGGCAAGAGCTGTTGAATGAGTGATGGTGAAAGTGTTTCCTTGTGCTTTGGGCCACCCTATCTTGATGAAGATGACTTGTGTGTTATAAAATGAAACTTCTTTTGTCAAGTCTACATTTTAAAGTGCTATAAGTTACGTTTTTTACTATGTTTCATTAAGTACAAAGAAGAAGAATATTTCTTAAGCTAGTTGTTGGGTGTAATGAAAGTAAGAAAGGGACCTAGTTTGTATTGGAGAAGAATCATTGGTTTTGTTTTATCTTTTGAAAGTTTTTATTATTATTATTATTTTTATTTTTATGCACCAGCCAACTTCCACTGAGGTGAGTGACCTGAAAAAGAAGAAACAATTTCACCATCATTCACTTTATCACTGTTTTATGAGGCATTCAGGTACTACAGTTCAGATATCCCTCCAAACTGTGAATATTCTCCACCTCAGGTGGAGAATATTTACAGTTTGCACTGTACTGTACTGTATTTCCCACCTCCAGCTAACCGGTTTCCCTGAATCCCTTCACAAAATGTTACCTTGCTTGCACTTCAACAGGTCATAGTCCTAACAACCATTTGCCTCCTCTCCTCTCTAACATACTCACACATGTCTGCTGGATGTGTGTGTATATTACCAGTGTAAAAATAGAATGATTATTTTACTGAAGTTATGGACATTCAGTATTTTGGCAGGTTGCAGATTTCAATGGAGACATGAGGAAAACGCTCTTCCGACACAGACTAGATGAACCTCGTGCCCTTGCTGTCTACCCGTCTGAGGGCTGGATGTTCTGGACTGACTGGGGGCAACAAGCTAAGATCGAGAGAGCTGGCATGGATGGTAAATTTAGACAGGTATGTTACACATGCACCTGAAATGTGTAGAATTGCTTACCAGTAGGGTCAGACAACCAGAATTTGGAAAATCTGTCAAAAAAATATGAAGGCACTCAAAAGCATTCCTAGATAATGTGAAATCATTAAAGCACATAAATTTTTATTACTTTTTCACTGGTTATTTTTGCATATTGTGATATTACCTGTTTACTGTGTTCTTATTGCATCAAAGGCATTTATATAACATGGATTCTAACCAGGAGCTTCATGTTTTTGTGATTAATAAGTAGTTGTAGGAAAATAAAGTAAGAAATAAAATTAAAAGTAACAAACATTTAACCCTTTCAGGTTTTCGGCCGTACTAGTACGGCTTACGCCCCAGGGTTTTTGACATACTAGTATGCCTAAATTCTAGCACCCTCAAATCTAGTGAGAGAAAGCTGGTAGGCCTACATATGAAAGGATGGGTCTATGTGGTCAGTGTGCATACTATAAAAAAAAAAATCCTGCAACACACAGTGCGTAATGAGAGAAAACAAACTTTGACCGTGTTTTTTTATTAAAACAGTGACTTTGCACTGTATTTTCGTATGGTATTTATTGTTGTATTCTAGATTTCCTGGTCTCATTTTATAGAATGGAAGACATATTACAGAAATTGAGAGGATTTTGACTGGTTTTGCATTGAAAAGTACCTTGAAATTGAGCTCCAGGTAGCAGAAATGTTAAATTTTTACCAAAGTTCAAAAGTAAACAAATCATGCCAAGCGTCCAATTCACATCAACTGATGAGTCTAATATTTTTTCACAAGTGCGCTGATATTATTTATACCATTTCTACACTAATGCAGTAGTCTGCATAAGAGTAAATCTTCTATTTTTTGTAAGAATAAAAATTCAAAGTGGAAAGCCAAAGAAATATAAGAGGGGCCTGGGGATGTGACTAACGAACAGCGAACTTATTATTTTAGTGCCAGGAATGTCTTTCTTGTTTATTTTGGACCCTATTCGGAAATTGGCATCTTTTGAAATTTGTGTGAAATTGGCAAAATTGCTAAATTCTGACCACTTTATTGGATAGTTGAAATCAGTAAATGGGTGGTTTCTTGTACTCATTCGATAGAAAAAATGGAGTTCTAGTGAAATAGTTATGATTTTTGTCGACTAGTACATTGAAATTGGCCGAAAATAAGGCTCAAAGTGGGCAAAATCACTGATGCGTAAACAATGTTGAGACCGCTAACTTCGCGAGAGCATAATTCCATAAGTTTTCCATCAAATTTCATACTTTTGGTGTCATTATGATTGGGAAAAGATTCTCTATCTTTTCATAAGAAAAAATAATTTTTTTTTTTTTAGATTTGGCAACCCTGAGAACAAGTCTCGGAGAGGGCCTGGGGACCCTGAAAGGGTTAACACGTTGTCTTGAATCTTCTTTTAATAACTAATGCTCCACTGCATAATGATTTTCATGTGAGATTTTGTAACATTACACAGTTCCTAAAATAACTTTTTATTCGTCAAATAACTTGTTTGTAATATAGCATTATTTGGTAAAACCAGCAATGGTACTGTATTGTCCAGCATATAAAGTGCTCCTTTTTTTCCCCACAAAAGTCTTGGAAAATCACTCTGTGCCTAATATGCTCAAGGTCAGGGTAGGCTTTGGATTATGCTTTAGCTTTAAATAAAGTAAGATGGTAATTAATCTTTGAATTTGATTATTTATTTACTGTTATACTTTTTTCGTGTACCTTTTATGTGGGAAAATATGGTAATTAGTTTGCCTTTTCATTATCATTTTGATTGTCGCATATAACAATAGGATTTTTTGACTAAATGAAGATGAAACCATCATTTCATCGTTTTTATGTTTTTATATACAGTATTGTACCATATACATGTGCAAATAATATATACTGTAGGGCTCCACTCATATGGCAGGTTAGGTTCCAGGCTACCGCAGTAGAGCAGAAATTGCCATAAAGTAGAATGCCCTTTTTTTCCCCACTTGTGAATGCATATAAATGCCAGATGACAAGTTTGCACTAACATATATTAAGTTAGCAATAGAATTAGGCATTAAAAAACAATAAAAAATTAAATACACATACAGTGGAACCTTGACTTTAGAGTTTAATTTGTTCCGTGACCTAGCTCGTAACTCAATTTGCTTGTATGTCAAATCAGTTTTCCTCATTTAAATTAACTGAATAGCTATTAATCCATTTCTGCACTCTGGAGGCAAGAAAAAATACTCGAATATGATGCTATTATGAACTGTACGGCGTACTTATCTATTACAGTTCATCTAGTATGACATAAATGCTATATAATTAACACAAACATATATATTCTAGAATGAATAAAATAGGCCATACAGTAAGGCCCCGCTTTACGGCGTTCCGCTAATACGGCGATGTCAAATTATGACCAAAATTTGCTATACGGCAAGCGGTCTTTCAAATACAGCGCCCCCCACCCGGTTTGTTTGAATTTTCTGTGACCACATCTATTATGTCAGGAAACTTTCCAAAATTTCTAAGTGTTTTAAAGTTACTGCATATTTTATATGTACTCTGATAATTGTACTTATGTGTACCTGTACCTAAATATACTTACACACTGTGCTGGTGTGCAGGTACACATTAAAATCACTAAGTCTCTCTCTACTCATGACGCCAATACTACGTAATAATAATCACTCTTGGGCACACTAAATGTCTTATTTTACATCAATATAGGCATTTTCAATAATCCATCTATGATATTTTCCTCAAAATTATATATGAAACCCATTACATAGCATATAAACATGATACATACACTCAGAATAAAAATTGATGTAAATATGAGATTTGTTTACAAAGCAGCTGTGTAGGTTGTGTCAGAAGAATTACGTTTTCTCTAGTCAAACACTAGGGGGTAATTGTAGAAAAATATTTTTTTCGTAAGCCTTTATGTATAGCAATTCACAACCCTTGTGGGTTTAGTGGTTTTTATAATTAATAATAATAATAATTATTATTATTATTATTAATATTTATTATTATTAGTAATCTTTACTGAAGATTACTACTAATAATATATTAATATTAATAATAATAATAATTATTATTAATTATAAAAAGCACTAAACCCACAAGGGTTGTGAAGGCTTACTCAGCCCTGTAACAACTTCAGACAGTATTACCCAGGCTGGCTCCTCCTCAGGAAAATTAGTGAATAGAAAAAGAAATAATAACAGACAAACATAAACACTTTATTATATAGAAAATATGAAACACTTAAATATGAAATATTAATCCTACATTAAAGAAAATGAAAAATGAAAAATATAAATGATAACTGAATTCAACGCTAATATATATAGGGGTGTCTGGTGTTGGTGACACTGTGTTGTTGAAATTGTAGCCGTTGCTGATGATGGGGGGGGGGGGGGGGGGTTGCAGGTGTTGGTTACAACCCACCGGTTCGTTCTTCACAGTATAGCCGTGAGTATTATATCCCGATGACAGGAAAGCAGGTTCTTTACCACTGCAATGATGAGGAGTTACGTCCTGCAATTTCATACAGGTGCACAGGTAATTAAATCCAAAAAGGGGAAATCTCAGGACGTTAGTCCATCTCCATCAGTTCTGCTCGTTGATTGGCAGATGACCCTCTCTGTCATCCAAGCTGGAAAGATAGACGGGTTACCCACTGCTTAAGAAATCACTCTCCATGATAAGTACAATACCTAAAAGATGTATTATTACAACAGTCAACCTAGAGCAAGACTGAAAGGACTAAGTTTATTATTGGTCAAAAGTGAAGCTTTCAACCAATAAATCCACTAGAATACAAGGCAGGCATGTACTTACAGTAGTGCTGGGAGCTGTGAGTCTAGTGATTATTGTTTGGACCGGAGCTCCACACGTCACCTTTCGGGGGGGGGAGGGGAAAGGATAGCGGGAGCTAGACTGACCCTACCTTAACAAGCAGCCGGCAGTCAAACTATCACTTTCGGGGTGGGGGAAAAAAGGTGGGAATAGTGGGAGCTTGACTTACCCTACCTTAACAAGTAGCCGGCAATGAAACTATTGTTACTATATACTCCCTCTCTACTCCTATCTATTGAACTTTTCCCTCACAAGGGTCGTGAATTGTTATACATAGAGTAATGGCATACAAAAAGAATATTTTTCTACAGTTACTCCCGGCCGACTTGTTGAAAAAAAAAATATTATTATTAATATTAATAATAATAATAATATAATTATTATTATTATTATCTTCATTCGCTCTAAAAATGGTGTGTTGCTGTTTGTTTATTCTGAACTAACTTGTACAACTTGTACACAATGTAAGAGTGTTTGTATTGAGGCAATTATTATTAAAATAAAAAAATATTGAGGTAGATGTTTTACAAACTCTTACAAATGGACGTGAATGAACTAAAAGTAGACACATATTAATACGCATTTATTTCGCCTGACCAAGTGATCGTCCACTACCTGTTCAGTTTGTGTTCTTACATTGTCTCAACTCTGTATCTCGTTCTCTCTCTCGTTTACTCTTTCGTTAACTAGTTGGCTCTCATTGACGATGGCGTCTAAGGTTAGCTGTAGTAAAAAGAGAAGTCGTAAGCCTCTTGCTTTAAGTGCCAAGTTTTTACCTGGAGTTTACCTGGAGAGAGTTCCGGGGGTCAACGCCCCTGCGGCCCGGTCTGTGACCAATCCTCCTGGTGGATCAGAGCCTGATCAACCAGGCTGTTACTGCTGGCTGCATGCAAACCAACGTACGAGCCACAGCCCGGCTGGTCAGGTACCGACTTTAGGTGCTTGTCCAGTGCCAGCTTGAAGACTGCCAGGGGTCTGTTGGTAATCCCCCTTCTGTATGGTGGGAGGCAGTTGAACAGTCTCGGGCCCCTGACACTTATTGTATGGTCTCTTAACGTGCTAGTGACACCCCTGCTTTTCATTGGGGGGATGTTACATCATCTGCCAAGCCTTTTGCTTTCATAGTGAGTGATTTTCGTGTGCAAGTTCAGCAGTTAGAGGATGATGGTGTGCCATTCTGATTTTATTCAATAAACACCCTGCCACTCACCTCTCACACATTAATATTAATATTTTAAGGTAAGTAATAAGTGTACTCTGTGTGTATCTTACCTTTTATTTTGTTTTTAATGCCTATTTCTATTGCTAACTTAATTTAAGTTAGTGTAAACTTGTTGTCTGGCATTTATTGCATAGTTTATATGCTCTGATAATAATATTTGTGGAGCCGGGTGGGGGGACAACATTACGTTTTCTCTGTTTAGCCATCAGAGAAAACGTGTATGAATCTGCGTTTGGCCCAGCCACTCCCCCACTCCGCTTTTGTTTACAATTTTCGGCATGAATTATTCATTACTTCTACCTTCGTTTATGATGGCATCTAAAGGTAGTTGTTAGAAATGATTAAATTCATTGTGCAAGGCATGTCGATGTTAATAATATGGCTCTGGGCCACAGTGTACGTAGGCGGTGGGTGTAGCCCAGGCGGGCTACACCTACCGGCTACCTACACTGACTTTATACAAATAAATACTACTCGCCTCTCTTCCTATATTAAGACTACACATATTTTAAGGTAAATAATGAGTGTACTGTATGTGTATTTTGCCTCTCTGGGATGTTTTAAATATCGTATATTAAGTATGAGACGGGGAGCCAGTGCTACCTACACCTGGGCTACCTGCACCTGACTTCCTACAAATAAGTACTACTCACCTCTCTCCCTACATTAAGATTATAAATACTTTAGGATAAGTAATGAATTTACTGTGACTGTATTTTACTTTGCGTGTTTTTAATGCCTAGTTCTATTACTAACTTAATATAATTTAGTGTAAACTTGTTGTCTGGCATTTATATGCATTTATAAATGGAAAAAAAATGGAGTTCTGCCTTCTGGTAATGTCTGCTTTCCGGCGACAGTCTGGAACCTAACCCGCCGTATAAGTGGGGCCCCACTGTAATATGGTGGCAGAGGCAGTGGCGGAAGAGTCCGCCATTTCCTGTTCCACTTTGACTATAGTATCTTCCCATGCTCTTATTGTAAGAGAAAACTGTTTTTTGAGGCTAACTGCAGTAGATCACTAGTTTTCTAAGGAAAACACTGAAACAATGTATTTATAAATACGAAATACACCTACCATCCGACTTACGACCGAGTTCGGTTCAGAGAAACCGGTCGTAAGTCGAAATGGACGCAAGTCGAACTTTACTACTGAATATCAACATCACATTTTTGTAATGACTTTATTTTATTGTTTTATTTTGGTATTTCATGTTTTACTTAACTTTTTATGCTGTTAGTACTGTATTTTATACTGTAAGGTTTAGGAAAAACACTGTGTACAACGCAAATAGTTGTTTATTTCCTAGAAATTTGGCAAAAAAAACACGGTCATAAGTCAAGAATGTAAAGAAATATTAGCACCACTGTGCTCTAAACACCACCTCCAAGGCTGAGGGACTGATTACCTCATCTTTTGTATATAGTTCTTCTGATTTCTTATTATGTCCAAGAATCTGTATTGATAAAGCCACTGGATGGCGAAACGTCTACAATAAAAACAACCAGATGTTGCACAAGTGTCTTAACTTTCATCTTGTCGGTATTGTATACCTGTCTTGCACAACTCAGTGCACTGTTTACCTCACTGTGGGAGCAGTTCTCTCATGCTTTGCTTACACTTTTGACAGTCATTTGGCCAAATCTCATTTTTTCTAAGCATAGGTCCTGAGAAAGTAAGTGTAAAGGACAGTGCTGAGAAGAAAAAGAGAATGATTTCCATGGAATTAAAGCATGAAATCATAGATAAACAAGCGAGGTGTCCAGGTTTTGGGTTGAGGGGGAAGCGGGTAGAGCTGACTTGTAACTCAAATGTTGGCTCTTAATCGGAGCAAAAAATTGAACCAGAGACGGCTCATATCTCAAAAAACTCGTATATTGGGACACGAGTAAGTCAAGGTTCCACTGTATGTATAATACTCATTACTTACCTTAAAAAATGTGTAGTCTTAATATAGGGTGAAAGATGAGTAGTATTTATTGTAGAAAGTCAGGTGGTAGGTACAGTGGACCCCCGGTTAACGATATTTTTTCACTCCAGAAGTATGTTCAGGTGCCAGTACTGACCGAATTTGTTCCCATAAGAAATATTGTGAAGTAGATTAGTCCATTTCAGACCCCCAAACATACACGTACAAACGCACTTACATAAATACACTTACATAATTGGTCACATTCGGAGGTAATCGTTATGCGGGGGTCCACTGTATTGTAGCCCACCTGGATACCACACCTATACATATGATGTTTAAATTGCCCTAAAGTGATAAAATGCACATATGGTGCACTCATTACTTGCCTTAAAATATGTGTAGTCTTACTGTAGTGTGAGAGTTAAATATTTATTGTGGAAAGTTTTTGTAACCAAAAAAAAAAAAAAAAATTAGTCGGGTGTGGTATCTCCCACACCTATATGAAATACACAACTAAATTTTTTTTTCCCCAACACAATGGTCATCTTTGTTGTATGATAATCTTATGTTATTTTATATTCACAGGCTATTGTTACTAGAGATATAAGGTGGCCCAACGCTCTAAGTCTTGACTTGGTTTTGCGAAAAATATATTGGTCAGATTCCAAGTACCATACAATCTACTCTTGTGACTTTGATGGCTCTAACCGCAGGGTAAGGCGCTCTGCTCTTATACATGTATGTATATAGAGGTGCTCAGACATGACTGCTTAGACGTTCTTCCAAACTGCCAATATCCCAAACCCCTCCTTTACAGTGCAGGCATTGTACTTCCCATTGCCAGGACTCAAGTCTGGCTAACCGGTTACCCTGCTCACACTCCAGCTCGTCAGGTCCCAAAAACCATTCACCTGCATTCTCTCCTATCTGACACACTCATGCATTCTTGCTGGAAGTCCAAGCCACTCGCCCACAAAACCACCTTGACCCCTTCCCTCCAACCTTTTTGGGGATGACCCCTACCCTGCCTTCCTTCCTTCTACAGATTTATACGCTCTCCAAGTCATTCTCCTTTGTTCCATTCTCTAAATGACCAAACCACCTCAACAGCTTCTCTTCAGCCCTCTGACTAATACTTTTAGTAATGCCACACCTCCTAATTTCCACACTATGAATTCTCTGCATAATATTTACACCACACATTGCCCTTAGACACAACATCTCCACTGCCTCCAGCTGCCTTCTCATTGTAGCATATACAACCCACACTTCACACCCATATAAGAGTGTTGGTACCACTATACTCTCGTATATTTCCTTCTCTGCCTCCATTGATAACGTGCTTTGTTTCCACAGATACCCCAACATACCACTCCTTTTTTCCTTCATCAGTTCTATGGTTAACCTTATCCTTCATAAACCCATCCACTGACAAGTCAGCTCCCAAATATCTGAAAATATTCACTTCTTCCATACTTCCTCCCTCCAGTGTGATATCCAGTTTTTCTTTATCTAACTAATTTGATACCCTCATCACCTTACTCTTATCTATGTTCACTTTCAACTTTACACCTTTACACACACTCCCAAACTCGTCCACTAACCTTTGCAACTTTAGAATCTCCCATAAGTATAGTTTTTTTTTTTCGGAGGTGCTCAGAATACAAGAGTTTAGAAGCATATACGTATAAAGATACACAGCATATCCCTCCAAACTGCCAATATCCCAAACCCCTCCTTTAAAGTGCAGGCATTGAACTTCTCATTTCCAGGACTCAAGTCCGGCTATATAAAAATAACCGGTTTCCCTGAATCCCTTCATTAAATATTACCCTGCTCACACTCCAACAGCTTGCCAGGTCCCAAATACCATTCGTCTCCATTCAATCCTATCTAACACGCTCACGCATGCTTGCTGGAAGTCCAAGCCCCTCGCCCACAAATCCTCCTTTACCCCCTACCTCCAACTTTTTCGAGGATGACCCCTACCTCGCCTTCCTTCCCCTACAGATTTATACGTTCTCCATGTCATTCTACTTTGATCCATTCTCTCTAAATGACCAAACCACCTCAACAACCCCTCTTCTGCCCTCTGACTAATACTTTTATTAACTCCACACCTTCTCCTAATTTCCACACTCCGAATTTTCTGCATAATATTCACACCACACATTGCCCTTAGACAGGACATCTCCACTGCCTCCAACTACCACCTCGCTGCAGCATTTACAACCCAAGCTTCATACCCATATAAGAGTGTTGGTACTACTATACTTTCATACATTCCCTTCTTTGCCTCCATAGATAACGTTTTTTTGTCTCCACACATACCTCAACGCACCACTCACCTTTTTTTCTTCATCAATTCTGTGATTAACCTCACCCTTCATAAATCCATCCGCTGACACGTCAACTCCCAAATATCTGAAAACATTCACTTCTTCCATACTCCTCCTCCCCAATTTGATATCCAATTTTTCTTTATTTAAATCATTTGATACCCTCATCACCTTACTCTTTTCTATGTTCACTTTCAACTTTCTACCTTTACAATAAAATGTGACTGTGTCAACTCCAATTTTGTACTTGATTCCCCATAATTTAGTTCCACCCCTCTCCCCAACACCCTAGCATTTACTTCTTTCACAACCCCATCTATAAATATATTAAACAACCATGGTGACATTACACATCCCTGTCTAAGACCTACTTTTACCAGGAAGTAGTCTCCCTCTCTCCTACACACCCTAACCTGAGCCTCTCTATCCTCATAAAAACTCTTTACAGCATTTAGTAACTTAATACGTATTCCTTACACTTGTAACATCTGCCATATTGCTCCCCTATCCACTCTATCATATACCTTTTCTAAATCCATAAATGCAATGAAAACTTCCGTACCTTTATCTAAATACTGTTCACATAAATGCTTTAATGTAAACACTTGATCTACACATCCCCTACCCACTCTAAAGCCTCCTTGCTCATCTGCAATCCTTCTCTCTCACTTACCTCTAATTTTATCAATAATAACCCTACTGTACACTTTACCTGGTATACTCAGTAAACTTATTCCCCTATAATTTTTACTATCTCTTTTGTCCCCCTTCCCTTTATATAAAGGAACTACATATACAAGTTCTCTGTCAATCCCTAGGTACCTTCCCCTCTTTCATACATTTATTAGGCAAAAATACCAACCACTCCAACACTGTCCCTCCCTGCTTATAACATTTGTCATGATCCTGCCAGTTCCAGCTGCTTTACCCCCTTTCATTCTACATGATGCCTGACGCACCTCTTCCGCACTCCCATCCTGCTCTTCTTCACTCCTAAAAGATGTGATACCTCCCTGGCCAGTGCATGAAATTACTGCCCGTCTTTATTTTTATTTTATATTTTTACATGAAAATGAATTGTTTTTGGGACCTGACGAGCTGTTGGAGTGTGAGCAGGGTAATACTTTGGGAAGGGATTCAGGGAAATTGGATAGCTGGACTTGAGTCCTGGAAATGGGAAGTACAATGCCTTCACTTTAAAGGAGGGGTTTGGGATATTGGCAGTTTTGGAGTGACTCAACTGTAGTGTCTGGGTGCTTCTGCAAAGACAGTAATTATGTATGAGTGATGGTGAAAGTGTTGACTGATAATGAAAGTTTTTTTCTTTTTGGGATTTTCTTTCTTTTGGGTCACCCTGCCTTGGTGGGAAGTGGCTGACGTGTTAAAAAAAAAATCATACCCATATTCGACTTGCAATATTTTCGATTTACGATGGGTTCACCAGAAAGTAATCCCATTGTATGTCGAGGAGCACCTGCATGTCATGTCATCTGGTTGGTTTTGCCTAGTAGTAATTAATACAGTATTTGTAATTAGGAGTTTGTAGGTACAGGTAACTAGAGGAGCAGAGTTAGGTTCTCTCAGTATTTATAACATCTCAAATAACTTAAGTGTCCAGGGGTTATAATCTTTAATTATAGACCCAACTATGAGTATTGAGTGAGATATGCTGGTACTCTATTTAATATAGTGTTTCATTTTAGGGAGATGTGCAACTGTAAGTCTTTGGTATATAATATAGTAATAAAAGCATGCAATATTGTTTTCATTTTCTGAAAGTAATATTCTGCAAAATATATATTTCTCCAGTAGTATATGCAATATTCTAACTTATAATTTTCTTTTTTTTTGTCAGGTCATACTTTATTCAACAGATTACCTGCCTCATCCATTTTCTATCACAGTTTTCGAAGATACAATGTATTGGAGTGATTGGCGCAAGGAAGCCATTTTCCGAGCTAACAAATTCACAGGACAAAATGTTGAAACTATTGCACACTCACATGCGGTAAGTTAGCCTGATGATTTAAATAATCTTCAGAGAATTCCCCACAGATTTCAGGGTTATACCTTGTGGTTTTCACATTTTATGTAGCCACTTGATTTTCACCTCGGGTATCGTGTTGCTGTTCATAATGTGCCATCATATCTATAAAACAGCTGTTTGGTTCATAGTTGTTTAGCTTGAAAGACATTCTGTAGGTACCTCCCTTCAGTAAAAATAGGTTAAAATGTTGCACTGTATAGTAGATTTCTCTTTGTAGTGTAAGATTGGGATACAAAACTGGAAAGGAAAATACCTAATTGTTGATCTCATCTGAGAAAATAAGAAAATGGAGGCAAATTCAGCTACAACAGCATTTCCCAGTTGTGATATAACTGTGACACATTTCTGGATTTCTTCTAACCTATTAGTCAGGCCTGGAGCCAGTTTTTTTTTTTCTCTCTCATTCTAATTGCCTGGTCAGCAAGGCTGTTGCTGTTTGCAGACCACAAGCCCACATATTTACAAATAACATGTACTTAGAGAATGCTTATCACTTTCATTTCATCCTTGACCATAGTCAAGTTACTTCATTAGCTCACTTTATGCAAATCTTCTTGTAAATGTGTAGTAATTTTTATTTACTTTTACACAAGATTTTTGCATCTGCAGACAAATTCAAACATTGTTGGGGCAAGTATAGATCTTTGTGGCACCCCACTGTTAATGTTTCCCCAAAAGGACATTTTTACTCTTATCCTCAAAAGAATTACTTGTCTTTTCTTTGTTTCATCATTATTCAAGATAAATGCTAAAAATTTTTTTATCCATTCACTGTATGTTCCTTTTAATTCCTTTATACAGGCATGCCTCTCTAATGACACTTTGGAGCTCTTTGCTAACATGGCACTTTTCAGTTGTATTCATGTTTGTTATTTTTGGTGGTGGTGCACACAGCTTATTTTGAGCTGAATTTAACAATTTTTATTAATTATTTTTGCTTTTGCATCAGTTCTTTAGGCCTAGCACTATTGCACACTAATAAATAATAGTGTGATCATAGTTTTTAGGGTTTTATATGCAGTGGCAAGTGAAAAAAGGGGTGTGATTTGTTTTATAGCGACATTTGTTTTACGGCGGTCTGGAACCTGACCCCACCGTATTAGCGAGGTATGCCTGTACAGTGTTTTTTTTTTTTTTTTTTCATGTTGTGTTCTGAGCACCTCTGCAAAAACAGTGATTATGTGTGAGTGAGGTGAAAGTGTTGAATGATGATTAAAGTATTTTCTTTTTGGGGATTTTCTTTTTGGGTCACCCTGCCTCGGTGGGAGACGGCCGACTTGTTGAAAAAAAAAAAATGTTTAGGAGGCCTGATCTGAGACTGAGTCACCAAGGTGGTGATTTTCATAGCCATTAAGATACGTAACAGATGTACTATAATCTTCAGAATAAATTTACATACATATATTGTTTGTGTTACAGACCCCCATGACTGTCCATGTGTACCATAGCTATAGGCAACCCAATGGCACAAATCACTGTACTCCGCTTAATGGTCTATGTACTCACCTGTGTCTCCCTGCACCACAAACTGGCCCTCAAGCTTCAAAAATTACATGTGCTTGTCCAGATGGCCTCATGCTGATGTCTGATGGACTGACGTGCGAGAGCGAGGGTGAGTGTTACTTTTGATCACTAGTATCTGACTAGTAGTGCTTGTATTATTTTTTTATTTTAACTATTGTATTATTGTCAGCTTGTTTATAGAATTGTTTTGTTTGTGCTTTCAAGATAAGTTTTGCATTTTTATTATAGAATTATAATAATACAGTTATCTTTTAAGTGCATGAGTTGTAGTAAATTGTAAATATATTTTTTATAGTTCAAGTTTTATGCAGGTATATATTATTTTGTTTGTATGTATGTATTACTTTTTATTGTGCTTTTTTCAGTTTTTGTGAAATGTGACAACAAAAGCCATCTTTTCAGTGGATTCAGATATAAATAATACATCTTGGCATAGGTTTTTAAGTATGTAAATCAACTAATATACAGTAGCATTTTCTAAACAATTAAAAAAAAAAATGGTGTGTCAAGCTGTCTTCCTTCTTCCATCATCCCTTGTCCTTTTCCCTCCTTTCTGGGGTCATCAGCAATTTTTTCATAGTGATTCTTTCAATATATATTTTTAAAGTTGGTATGTAGTGATGTCATAGCTTGCTTCATAATAGTGCAAACAAGCCACACCACCTGTGGTAAATGTTGAGAATATTGGGCACAGGACCTGTCCATATTTTCTTCCCATTAACCCTTTCTGGGTTGGTGCCGTAGTTCTACGGCTTTGAAGCCATTGTCAGTGCCATAGTTTTACATGAGCTCAGCTCACTCAGAAAAGCTGTGAGTGGTAAAAAAAAAAAAATTCCTGCAGCACGCAGTAAATAATGAGAAAAAAAAAACACGACTGTCTGTTTGATTTAAAACAGCGACTTTGTGGTGCATTTTTGTATTGTTTTAATGGTTGTTTTCACAGTTTCTTGGTCTCATTTGATAGAATGGAAGATCTGTTTAGGACTGAAAATAGCTTGAAATTGAGCTCAAAGTAGGGGAAATGTTCGATTTTTGCTAATGTTCAAGAGTAAACAAATCACATCACACGTCCAATACACATCAGCTGGTGGGTCTAATGTGTGTTCATGAAGGCACTGATATTATGGACCCCATTTTGAATTTGGAATATTTTAAAATTTGTGTGAAATTGGACAAATTACCAATTTCTGATCACTTTATTAAGTAATTGAAATAATTGATTGGGCGGTTTCTTGTGCTCAGTCACTGAAATGCAAGGCATGCTAGCGAAATAGCGACAGTTTGGTCGACTGGAACAATGTAATTGGCATAAAATAGGACTCAAAGTGGGTAACACTGCCGATGCATAAATATCGCTGATGCAGCAAAATTCGCAATAGTGTAATTTAGTCAATTTTTCATCAAATTTTGTCCCTTTTGTTTTATTACTTTCAAAAAAAGATTCTATATCATTTCATGGGAAAAAATAACAAATTTCTTTTTTTAAATTCTTGTACCCTGTGGACAAGTCTCTGTGTCCATTTTTCCTAACAGGTGCAGTACTATTGGATGTTAAGTGCCTCACATTGTCTCCTTTGTTCCCCTCCCTCTTACCCTTCCTGGGATGACCTGTACCCCTCCTTCCCTCTGCCCCAGATTTATATACCCATTTATTCATTGTCTCCTTTGTTCCCCTCCCTCTTACCCTTCCTGGGATGACCTGTACCCCTCCTTCCCTCTTCCCCAGATTTATATACCCATTTATTCATCCTATTGTGTTCCATTAACGCTAACTGCCCAAACTGTCTCGACACCCTTTAGCCTTCTGAACTAGACAGTTAGCAACCCCACATCTTTTAATCTCCATGCCTACATTTTCTGTAAACAAGAAAAATAGCTTGGCAGAGTTTTAATAAGTTGCCATATTACTAAAGTATCTTATTGAAGGCCACACCTATAAAAAAGATATTAATTTTTAAGTGTTTATGCTTAGGTACTTGCATGTTGATTTTTATAGTCCACTGATCATGATGGTTTGTTTTTTTAATGTTGACTGCTTTTGTAATGTAGTACATTTCTCCCTGCCTCTCAAGATGACTCGATTCCCTACTTGGGGAAACCTACTCAAGAATCTACCTCGATAACCAATAATCTTACAGGTATTGTTTCACATTTCTCATCTCGTACTCGGCACGGTAGTCTATGCTGGAGAGCCATGTGGCATGCCAAATTGTCTGGAACTGAATTATGCTAGTATGAAAACATAATTTTTCCTAATCGTTCAGTTTTTTTTTTTTTATGCTGAACTGTTAACCAGTAGGTGGGAGAAAATTGAGAGTACTGCACTTGTGATACTCTCATTGCTTGTGGTTCTCTTTAGTTATGGGTAATCCGTATCTTTGTAGACTTGAGTATGGATTTTCAACCTTGTAGATGTGGGTACAGGTTTAGCATAACGCTTATTTTGCAAAGCAGACTTTTTGTCTTTTGGCTTTACTACACATTGATGTGTAGACTTTGCACTCAGAGTACAAGTAGTGGTATTGATTCATATGCAGTTTAAGTTTTCTATTAATTTTAATGTTTTTTTGTATACCTGTAGAAAGTTAGTTAACAGGAGTGGTATATTAACTTGAAATAGAGAAATTTAGATTTTTTCTGTAACACTAATGTACCAGAAGATATATGGAATACATTAAACCTTTAATTTATTTTTTTTTTTGTTGTTGATCAGTTCATAAATTATCTTAAGGATTGCAGTTGATAAGCAACTTGATATTTTTATCTGTTAAAATTGTATGAACATTGCTGTCACCATGGCATGTTGTTCCTTTCATATAAGTGAAACATTTGCTGTTTAATTGCATAATAAACAATATGTGAAAAAATACTGGGTATGTCAAATGAATATCACAGTAAGAAAAAGGTAGCAAAAGGCAGGTAAAGGAAGAACTGCATACACAGACAAACTAGATGGAAAGGAAATGGGTAGGGAAGAAAAATGGAGGATTTTCACACACTCCTTGGAACAGTTTACGTAATTGTGGTTAAATATGCCTCAGTATGCACAAGTGCAGTATAATATACATTCCTTTATTGACTATGTTTTGGGGACACAGTGGGCTTTATCATGTCACAAAAAGCCGAGTGTGTGTGGGGGTGAAACGTAGTCAATAAAAGATTGCATTATACTGAATTTGTCTAATTTTTCCATTATGTCAGTATTTTATACCACATATCTTGTTAGTCCAGTAGTGTACAAACTTAATTGTTGTTTGCTTTCCTTCTGTTTTCCTGTGTGCATGGAGAACTGGTTAAATAACTACTGTGCATTTATAATAGATTGCAAAACACTGTAGTGGTATAAGTGTACAAATTATTTATTTATATATTTATTTATTTTTTACAAGGGTGGGTTATTGATTTTGTCATGGGTGCTCTCCTTGTTGAAGACTATAATTTTGTCCTGCTTCATGGAAAATTCATGAACCATCATGACAACTCCTAGCCTAGGTTATGCCATCTTGCACTTTCATTGCCATTAATAAATATAGCTTATGTGTGCTATATAAATTTGCTTAATTGTAGTTTGCATTTTAATAGTAAATATGTTAGCATAAATTTATAGGTTGCTTTCATGCTAGTCCAGTAATGCCTTCTGTTGATTTTGTATTATGATTTTTTTTATTTAATTTAATGCTGATAGTTTTCATTTTGTATTGTACGTATACATCTATTTTCAATTTACATGCAATGTGTTTTTCCCAGTTATAAAATTAAAGGTAAGTTTGGATTTCATTGGATTATTTAGGCTATCGTTTCAAATGTTTTAATTGGCATGCCAGTGTTTTCAGTGATGTATTACAGTGTGTATGTACACTATGTATATAAAATATATTAGTTAAATATTTCCACTTAGGTTCATCAGAAGGTTGTACTATCACCAACGCATGGAACACTTGTCGATTCAGAAATTTGGTACTGTAGTGTTTTAGTATTATTCTTTGTAAAGCCCATTACATTTGTATGGCACTATATGACCCATGTGGGTTTAGAGCTTTTATTTTTTTTAACAGGCATAACAGCAACAATCATAATTTATCTGTAGCAAATTGGTGGTTTCGCTAAATATACCTGGAGTTTACCTGGAGAGGGTTTCGGGGGTCAATGCCCGTGCGGCTCGGTCTAAGACCAGGCCTCGTGGTGGATCAGGGTCTGATCAACCAGGCTGTTATTGCTGGCCGCATGCAAACTGACATATGAATCACAGCCCGGCTGGTCAGGTACTGACTTTAGTTGCCTGTCCAGTGCCTTCTTGAAGACAGCTAGGGGTCTATTGGTAATCCCCCTTATGTATGCTGGGAAGCAGTTGAACAGTCTTGGGCCCCAGATGCTTATTGTGTTGTCTCTGTGTACTTGTGGCACCCCTGCTTTTCATTGGGGGAATATTGCATCTTCTGCCGAGTCTTTTCTTTTGTCTCAAAGGGTGTGATTTTCGTGTGCAAGTTTGGTACCAATCCCTCTAGGATTTTCCAAGTGTATATTATTATGTATCTCTGTTGACTGCACTCCAGGTAATACAGATCAAGGGCCTTCAACCGTTCCCAGTAATTTAGGTGCCTTATTGTATTTGTGTGCCGTGAAGGTTCTTTGTACACTCTCCAGGTCAGCAATTTCCCCTACCTCGAAGGGGGCAGTTAGTGTACGGCAGTATTCCAGCCTGGAACTTTTAAAACTTTTAAAACAAAAATATGATTTTTACATGCAATTAGTTTAATATCTTCATTATGCAACCTATACCCATCCTGTGGGTTGTAGTCAAAGGATTACAGAGTCACATAATGGGTGAAGGAATTGGGCCTTGAAGTTTTGATAGCTGAACAAGTTACAGTGGTAATGAATTATTTATTGGTTACAATAATAATGAGTTAATTATGCAGACACACACAGAAAAGAAAAAATAAGTGGTAATGGGCTACTTACAGTTAGGAAAAGTCTGGTAATAGGCAGTGTGATTCTGTTCACTCAAGGATTGGCAGGGTTTCCTAGAAGTGTGCTGATACTACAATTCAGATTAACCTCCAGCCACTACATCCCAACCCCTCATTCAGAGTGTAGGCACAGCCCTTCCTACCTCCAGGATTACAGTCCTGCTAATTGGTTTTCTTGACTCCTTTCCTAAATGTTACCTTTCACACGCTCCAACAGCAAGTCAGGTCGTACAAATCACTTGCCTCCACTAGCTCTTGTCTAACACTCACACATGCCTGTTGGATGACCTAGCACTCAAAACCTCCTATACCCACTCCTTCCAACCTTTCTTGAGACGAGCCTACTACTTCCCTCCACCCCAGAATTATACACCCTCCTAATCGTTCACTTTTGCTCCTTCATCTCTAAATGTCCAAACAACCTCAACAATACCCCCTCAATTCTCTGGTAACCCCCACTTCTAATCTCCAAGTTCTGAATTCTCTACCTAATATTCACACCACACATCCAAACTGTCATGTCTGCATGCATCTGGCAAACCAGTAACTGAAAGAATGACAATGAGTGTTCCTCTTTTTGGGGTCACTGTACCTTGGTTAGAGATGGCTGATATGAAAATTTGTCTGGACTACCTCCATGTGAGTTGTCTACCCTAGCAAGCTCTGTTGACACCGAGCCCTGAGGTTGGTACCTCAGCCTCACAAGTGGCTTATAGGACAGATCTCCATAAATGACTGATGTTGCAAGAAATCTCGCCTGCATGCACGTATAAAGGACTAACTTACCCTGTGGACTTTCCCTCAGAACTGTGTGCAACCGGGAGCCTTAATTCCTGCAATATTCAGCCGGTATTAGTGACCTTCCTGCACCTTAGAAATTCCTGTTTCCAAGGGGGTGTGTATCCCCTAGTATAACTATGCAGAAATAGACACTAGCTTCTAAGCCTGACGAAGAGACGCCGGTACGTACTGGTCATGGGCTGCCCGCCTGCACAAAGACCCACAGCTCAACTCACTCGCAATTTCCCCCAGAAACTGGCCAGAATACTGAGAAAGAAAGGGAGGTCTTGTCTTACTGTGTGGACCTGACAGAGGAGGTCAACTACGGTACTTCGAGGTGCCTCCACCAGATTTCCCCAGGTCTAGTATGTGAAGACACGTGGGGGCACTGCCTGCTGTTCACGGCACTTGTTGATCCGATGGTGTCTGGTCTTAGAAGAAGGCACTGTGGTCTCAAAACCCCGTGCCCCAGCATTCAAACTTGGGCTGCCAGTTCTCCCTGGCTAATATAACCTAGTGTCTGCCTACATTACCGGCCTATTGCTACCTACATTAAGGTCTTAGGTCTACATTATTATTATCTACAGTTGCCTCAATAGTCCTAATATTAGTTCACTAACAGTATAAACTACCTACCTCTTCCTTGAAGGGTAAATCTATCAATTAAGATGTACCTTCCAACCACCTTCACCAACCCAGGTGTGTGTGTGTGTGTTTTGGGTGGGTGTAAGGGCCACCCAACCCAGCCGTTCCATCCGTGACATGTTGGGATCTTCGTACAATGTATCTGTCCTGTGAAACTTTAGGACCGAATAAGTTTCCACAGCTGGTGTGCAAAAAAAAAAAAAAAATTGTATGAAAGAAGTTATAGTACTTAAGGATTGGCAGAGAGCATTCATAGTTCTCATGTACAGTATAGAATCCTTTATCCAAAATTCCAAAATATGGAAACTTCCAAAATCAGAAAGATTTTAATGTTGACGTGATGTACCACAAATGTATCATTCAGTGCAAGATGTAGTGGAGGCTCAATCCTCCATCTGTTAAGCCAAAACAGACAAGCTTTACGCTTGTACTAGCGTCAGTTTGTTGTCAGCAGCAATTGCAGCAATTAGTACTCGCTGATTACTGTGTATTTTGTGCTTTGGTGTGAAGATATTGTTGAAAATGTCAAAAAGGTCTATGGGTAATAGTGAAAAGAAAGAGGAAGCATTTATGTTTATCTATATCACAGAAAGTCAAGTTGTTGGAAAAGCTTGACAGCAGTGTAAGTGTGAAGCGTCAGGCTGAGGAGTTTAGTGTTGGAGCAATCACTATTTTTATTACCAGAGCCAGATTAAGATTTTGTAGGCCCCTGGGCTACAGGTACAGTGGTGAGGCCCCCAGTG